ATCAATTTAGATTCAAAAATTCACAAGACACTTACTCTTGGACCTGATTTTAGTTACTAAACACTCTAAACTGTCAGTGGAGACTTGAAAGTGATCTCATCATAGTGACCTCTTCAATATGGGCACCTCTCTAATATGGACACTTCGCTCTGTCCCTTCCACACTCTGTCTGTATTAGAGAAGTTCGACTGAATATCAGGATCTCACTGGCCAGTCAAATTATACACTTAATTTTTTCCCATTCCATTTCGACCATTGCTTAGACCTCTTTAGCTTACAGGCCACATGATATTCTCTAGAGAAATTTATAGATCTTTTATATATCTAAAAGTTTTCCACTCATGTGCACTGACTGTTGGAGAATTTGAAAGTAAGAATCCCCAAGAGTATGTTAAAAGATCGATGGTTAATAAAGAGGGAAGCTGGGTCCTTGGGTAACGTGGCGTCGCTAGAGGGCTGGGATTGAGACAGGCTGAGGCGCCATGTTTGATTGTTTTGGCTCTGAAAATGAACGAAGTATTTAAAAATACCCATGTATTCGTGGAAGTTCTAAGCATGGCGAGATGCGATGCTGTCCAGCAATGGGATGAAAGTGCCTTTGAGAAAGCGTACAAGTGGGCTAGTTACTTTGAAGAGGCAAGTGTTTGGGACTAAGTAATTTCGCAGCAGGGCAAATAATTGCTTTAGGCCTTTAGCTTAGCACCGATCGGGATCACATTAAGCTTAGTCTTGTAACATTAAGAGCTGAAGTACAAAATTATACAGGGATATCTAAGTGTTAAGCTTATTAGCATCTTTGACATTGAAATATTTTAATGAGAAAATAACCTCTCTGTGACCTTAATTATATCACTTGGGCCTCGATCCCCTAGCCTCCCCCCTGTAAACCCCGGTATTGACTTGAGCTTGTGTAGAGGGGGGAGGAGTGGTGTTATTGAGGTGGGGGAATTTGACATTCATATCATACAAGGGAAGTTGTTGGTCGTGGGTGGGGGGAGGGGAGGGGGGGTTAGGCAGGTGAAGTTAGAAGACATCAAGAACTAACACCATACTTTGTAATGGGGCAGATACAAAACTTAGACCAGGTCAACTCAGATCGCTGATCTAAATAGGAATGGCAGCTATTGTCTATGCTTCGTTCTTCATCCCGAAGAAGTCATATTTAATTTTCGTATTAAATCAGCAATCCTAGTAGAGACAATCCAAGTTTTGTCCCTGCCTTTTGCAACATGGTGCCTTAAACAGAAAGGCTTTCAACAGTTCTTTGCTGTGTTTGTGGATGCATTTATAAATATGCAACGTTTTAATTTTAATCTTGTATAAAACAAAATTCAGGACACAGTGAAAGTTCAAAACAGGTGCTTGGGGACTTGAGGGTGAACTTGTTATCTTTCCCATTGCTCATTTTGCCACACATGCAAAAAATTCAAAAGGTCAAATAGTGGGGGCAGGGAGAAGGAGGATATTGAAGTTTTGAATTGCTTAATTGACTGAAACATAAATGGCAGAGGTCATCAGCATGTTTTCTAAGAAGAAAAGTTGCTCACTGTAGATGTGGATACACAAGGCCCAGCTAAATGTTGAACTTAATCCTAAACGAGCTGCTCATGGATGAATGAAAATGCCATAAGTCGTAGACATATTCTGACCTGTGGTTGTGAATAGGTTTTTGAAAGTCTGGTTGAAAAAATTTTTAAATCAGCATCTTTACCAATTTGTCAGTAACCAATTGTATAAATCTGCATATAATTTGTCAATTAAGTGTTGTATCAAAAGGTTGAAAATTACAGTAACTTATACATGTAGATGGCCTCTGATTGTTGATCTTACCTTTATCAGCTTCTGTTCAAGACAGACACATTAACCATTAGACCACAGCTCCTTCCAAAGCTACATGTAACCTCGAGGTACCTAACTATTTTCAAAATGTTCTCAAATTATACATCACTTTTTGTTTCTCAGGTTTATCAACGGTTGAAGACAAAACCATCCCTAGCAGAGAAACTGGATAAATATCTTGCAAACTTTAACAAATCTGGGCAAATACATTTAGGAAATCTAAAACTATCCCTTGATGTTCTTGGCAAATCAAAGTCTTTATTACGACAGTTTCTACTTCAGAATCCTCATCTTTCGGAAAGCCAATATCAAATGACATTGAAATTGTATGGCATAAGAGTAGGAGAATGGCTGGACTGTAGTACCAGTAATGATTTACATAAGGATGCATTCCATTTGAGTCAAACAAGAGCTGCAGTACAACTGTTATCTAAAATGAGGGACAGACTCACTGAAGATATGAAAAATTCTCAAGACAGAGTTTTCAGAGTTTTCAAAGAAAGCTCTTCAACAGCTCCCTTGTCAAAGGTAGAGAAATTTCCAAGTGCTGTTACTTCAGAAGACATTGCTGTTGATGTTGCTGCACATTGTTTATTCAAGCATGTTGAACATCACTTGCAGTATGGAGGTAAATCTGTCTGCTGTATGTATCAAATAAGTGTCTGTTTTCATCATTGTTCTTCCAGTGAGTTTTGAGCAGACTCAATGTTCTTGTATTGAAAAGACTGCTAACAAATTGCATTGGGCTGTCTCATAGTTTGCAAGTCAGTGAAGACTACTAAGGATATGGGCCTCATTTAGAGGTGCAGTCTTTGTCAAGTGTATATTAGCTTCTATACCATACCATAAATGGGGAAATTGCCTGGACAACTGTAGATGAACTTGAAATCGTCTTTCTGTTTAATTTCATTTACAAGTAATATTATAAGTAAATAATATTTAAAGTGATGTCAAATTATGATGTTTCATCCCATTATTATCACAGCTCCCAAGGACAAGGCAGAAGTGTGTGACAAGCTAAAAATCCTTGCTGAGCAAGAGAATGGACTGAAAAGCATTATATTATCACTTCTTTTAACTCCAGATGACTGTCGGTCAAGACAACAAGCCCAAAATGTAACTCAGTTCATTCTCGACTGGCTCCTTGGTATGTGGCCTAGCCATGAATGTTCCAACTGCAAAAATAATCTTCTTATCATTTTTTTATTTTCTACGCCCTTGTTTCTCATCTTAAAAAATGACTTATAATAAGAAGCAATTCTCTCATAGTTAACATCTTCTATGCAATGATAGTAGCAGAAATGTCACTATGTATTAGTTTTTGTACCTGCGTGTAATTCATTCAGGTGAAAGTATGGTAAGGTGACATGCCGTGTTCACCAGAACCCTAGGAACTTGCCTAAATTGATCTCTGATTGTCCTGGCTTTGCAGCTACACTGTACTCTCAAGTCCTTTTGTGGTAGTGTTTATTTTAATTTGGCTTTCTGTTAATTTTTTGTTCTTGAAATTTTGCTTGTCATTCATATATTATATTATCATAACACTCTACTTATTTAAGAACATTTCATACTGTAACTGTAGAAAAACTTCCCTCCAGATTTGTCTTGTGTAACCCTGTCGTCAAATTTCTCTCCTGTTATATGACACTTTATAATATAGATAGGACATTGCGCATGCTTTGATTGGTCAAAGACCCATGTTTTATCAGGGTATAAAACATAGAAAAAGCGTTTTTATTGTTTTTCGCCACATTACTTCTATATAATAAAGCAAATGAAGAAGCTTAAGCCCCGTGTATTACACTATGATAAAACACTCCGAACACTTGAGAAATGTAGAAAACACTTGCCTGTGGCTCATGTTTTCTACATTTCCCGCATGTTCTCAAATGTCCGTCCTGTTTTATCACAGTGAAATACACGGCTTAGTCTTCTTTATTTGTTAAATAACACATTGGTTTCTCTGTACGCCGTTATAAATAAAATACATGCCAAACTCCTGAACTTTCACTTTGATACGCCAGTATGGCCTAAACGGCAAAAGCAGTTACAAGTACCATTTCCATATTTTTTCTCCAACTTCTTGAAATTCCCCGTAAACGCCAGGGATATAAGTTGTAGCTTACAAAATCTATGCAGAGGTGAATTTGTATTCTAATAATCAGGGCTTACAAGTATGTTATTGTTATTGTTATTTTTGATGACATCACTTCTTTTGAATATCCTGATCAACAGAATTCCTCTCCAAAACTAAACCTGACCCTTGTTTGATGTCCATTCCTCCGCACCTCCTCAGCAGAGTGGCCTTCATGTGCACTCCCTTCTTTGAGCTGTACTTGTCCCATATATTGAGATGGGCAGAAAATATGGCTCCTAATATCTGCAGCAGTGAAAAGGATTATTGCACTTCCAGAGGAATTCAGTGGAGGTAGGTGTTTCACTGATGGAGACATGTGCTACATCATTTCATGCTGTTCTGACGATGTGGCCAACGTCAAGCAAACTGAGGCCCCGTCCACACCAGCGTCGGAGAAATTCGAAAGCGCATCTTTGTTTCTAAAGTTAGGCCTAACGTCCACTCTAATCCGACACAAAAACGGAGCTTCGAAAACGCCGGCTTTACGTTTTAGGGTCGACGGAAGATATTTTGAAAACGGAGATTTTTGAAAACGGTGGTGTCACGATAATCATGTCACTTCCTGCCAGGCTTTCCTCAAACAAAAATCCAAAATTCCTCCGGCGTATTGTGGACGGAAACATTTGATGCGTTTTCAGAGTGAAAACGCCGTTGTCAAATTTTTCCGGCATAGTGTGGACGGGCCCAGATAATAAGCTTTATGATTTCTCAAAAAGAGAAGTTCCTGCTCCTGAGTTCGCGGGCAATTGTAAAAATCGAACAAATGGAGACGCATCAACAGCTTTACTAAAAATTCAAGAAAAAGGAAATTGGTGAAAAGCGCAGGAAGCGTTGCGTGGGACACTAACGAGCGCAGTCGAACCCTCCGCGTCTGATTGGCTGAGTGAATAATTTGTTAGGAAGTAATGAAGACTTGTTGAAAACATTCAGTGGTCCAGCTGATCATCAGTGCAAACCAAAGTAACATTCGAATTTGTATTGAAAATGTGGAAACGGCTTGAATCAGTCCATTGTATGAGTTTCCGTAGTCAGGTGAATAGCATATTAACATACTTTTTGTTCAATTGTCGTTCTTTGACAGGTTCATCTTCCAGGACCACACGCTAAAACTTCAAGACAAGGCAAAGCAACATCTTTCCTTTGCAAGTCTCATCAGTCATTTTGAACATCTTGTAACTGGCCCCTCGGTCATTGCCGATGTAACAAAGAAAGAACTTTACAGTCGTTTTGCCGAAAGAGAATCGTTAATTAAGAGCGTCGAGTTCAGGACGTCCCCAGATACACTGGATTTGAATATTTGGGAAGACATTTCTGCTTTTCTTTCTATTTGACACAGACTACAGATATACGTTTTTGTGTGGGACAAGAAATGGAAACTGTTATTAGTCTTGTGTGTCCTGATCTCTGAGCGTAATTTTAATATGGCTAGCGTTTTATTTCCATATATATAATACGGCTAGTAAACGTCGGGTGAAAAGCGCCCTTTGTTGCTCTTTTTCTTTATTTAACTTAGAACCTGGTTTATCCAGGATATCAAATTTTGAATTAAGACAATAATAATACAAAACGTGAGGCCCATATTCTTTTGACTAGTCCCAAGGCGTCTGTTACGAAATTTCTTTCCAGTCGTCTTCTGCGCCTTTATACAATTGTATCGTAAAAGCAACAGTTCCGCATAGTGCCCCCCCCCCCTCCCCTCCCTTGTTCCCCTTTGTTCACTCAACGACCTGGCTTGTAGCTGTCTATTCCGTTAGTCATGCTCACTTGAATGCTTAGGTCCGTGAACTTTCATTTTCCAGTTATACTGCGCAACTTTAGTAATGATAATTCGCCACCATAACGTAGAATGTATAGCCGCTTTTACATCTCTCACTGCTACAGTTGGATTCGACAGGACAGAATCACATTTCTGTGCTAACCAGATTGGTTCAGATACCAGATCTACTGTCCCAAGCGTTAGCGTAGTATCTGCGACCCTCTCAAAACTCGATGTTATAATCAGAGAATTGAATCTCCGAAACCATTCTTCACTGACTAGAATTGCTAGAATGTATTCATTAATTGTGGGACGTTCAAGGAACTACTTCACGGTTTGCGCATTTTGAAAAGTTTAGACTAAATTGTTCAAGTTCGTCGCTTGTAATCCGTGTCAATCTTTTCCATCCTTGAATCTCTATGGTCTCTCATCATCTCTTTGGTGTTTTTCCATCTCAATAAATAACTATTTTCAGGTTTTTTCTATTTAAAGGTAATTCTGTACGCAGCCAAAATAACTCAAAATACCGTGACTGAGCTCCTTAAACAAGTGCGTGGTTAACAATGTAATGAATCGAAATGAATGTGAGCACTTGGTACCAACAACGTTATCAAAATACGATTTTCACCATCGGTTTGTATAAAAACGTAAGTTTCAAGAATGAAGTTCGTTCGTGTTGAAAGTGAAATAAAAGCTTTGTTACTTATTTAACCGGAAGTGACGTAAGGTTACCATGGTAACAATCATGCAGTGCCCCCTTATTTTTACAGATGGCACGTGCTTTACGGAGCATGCTGGGATAGGTTAAAGAAGAAGGCTTGGCCGCCCAGGGTGGCGCGAAAAGAGAGAAAAACGACTGTCATGTTAGTGATCGTAAAATAGAAACCTTTACCTTTTGAAAGACTCGGAAAATGCCCGATGAAGAAAAAGTGAGGACAAAAAGGTTAGTATTGCTTGCTTCTTTTTTTTCACTGTAGGTATCGTGTTTGTGGTAACTGGTAGTTTATGTCTATATGTCGTGACATTCGAAGTTCAATTTTTGCCGCCATCGATTCAATCTTGTTTTTCCCTGCAGACGAAAGCTCGACTCCATAATCATTAAACTGCATAAGGCGACCCCTTTGGAAAAAGAAAGTTTGCAAGACGGAGAAAATCAGGTAAAATGTTTGTTCTAACCGCTATTGCGTGAATTTTTTCGGCTTTATTTGTGTGCTCACATGTGTGATGGTGGGTTGATTTTGTGACAATTGTCTTATGCAGGCCGGCAATTTACATATAAGGCATGTATTTACCCTCGCTTAATTTCACGGTTAATACCCTAGCAAGGGAACTTTGATCGTTGTGACGTTGACTTAATTGCGTTATTTCATCCGATTGTGAACCCGGTGTGACTAAGGTTAACATTTGCTCTATTTGTACTGTATGCATGTACTCGGCGAACTTTTGAACATTCTGTTCCAATTCAATATGTGTTGTGTCTAGTTCGTGTATTTTCATGAATGGGAAAAGCGCTTAGGTTGCAGGTGTATGGTATCTTTTGTGCTATCACTTTTAATTCAAAAATAAACACAGGAAGAGATCTATTAACTAGCTTACCTTTTAGGTGGAATACTCAAAGCTTTATAGTTTACCAACCAGAATTTTTTTGTTACTTGTCATTTTCTTAACTTTGTTCTACAATACTCGTTTTGAGTACATGGCAAAATCTGGCAAATAACTGTATGATTTAGTCTTGATTAAGACATAAGTACTGTTGATCTCACTTTTAATTTTTGAACATTCTGGTATGTTCCTCTCCTTGGTGGTGTAACTTAAAAAAAGAAATAATGTTGCAGGTTGCCTGAACACAAAATAACTGGTTATTGGTAAGACCATAAATTTCAAAATAATAAAACTGAACAGCTTTAATTATGAACTTTTTTTTTCCCTAGATCAAGGCATTTGATTCCATGTAAGGTGACATGTATTACTGTTTCCAATCGTATAGACTGCGACACCCGAGAATTTTTCACAGTGCTAATTAAAATGAAATCACTAG